GCATGTGAATGGTATCTCATTGTGGTTTTGATTTGCATTTTCCCAATGGCGAATGATGTTGAGCATCTTTCTATATGCTTATTAGTGATTTGTATATCTTCTTTGGAGAAATATTCATTTAAATCATTTTCCCATTTTAAAAAATGGGCTACCTATTTTTTTTATTACTGAGTTGTAAGACTTTATATATTTTGGATTCCAGTCCCTTATCTAATATATGATGTACAAATATGTTCTCCCCTTCTGTGGGTTATGTTTTCATTTCTTGATAATGTCCTTCAAAGCAGAAAAGTTTATTTGCCTAATCCAAGATCACAAATATTTACTCTTATATTTTCTTCTAAGAGTTTTATGATGTTACCTGCTACATTCAGGTCTATGATCCATTTTAAGTGAATCTTTGTATCTGATATGAGATAAGGGTCCAATGTCATTCTTTTTTGTATAGATATTCAGTCTTCTCAGGACCACTTATTGAAAAGACTATTCTTTCCCTATTGAATTCTCTTGACATCCTTCTAAAAAAAACTGATTATAAATGTGGGATTTATTACATTCCTTTGAACTATTTAACCTTATGCCAGTACTACACTGTCTCGATTACTGTAGCTTTTTAGTAAGTTTTGATACAGGGAAGTGTGGATCCTCCAGCTTTATTCTTTTATTTCAGAATTGTTTGGGCTATTTTTGTTTTGATATTTCCATATAAACTTTAGGATCAGCTTATCAATTTCTTCAAAAAGGCACCTGGGATTTTGATATGCTTGGGATGCATTTCTTTCCTTGAATTGCCTAATGGACTCCTGGTCATCCTTCAAGATTTGGCTCAGACTCTAAACCCTTTTTAATTCTCTTACTCTCATTTCCATTTGTTCAATATTTCATTCACTCATGAAATATTTGTTGGCCTACAACTCTGTGCCATATTCTCTTTTAGGCATTGGGGATGCAACAAGGAATAAAACAAATCCCTACCCTCGTGGAGTTTACGTGCTAGTAGTGGGAAGAAGTAGACAGGAAATAAACAGATCATTAAAATATGTAGTATGTCACTGAATGAATCCATTCAATATGAAATACAAAAACAGGCAAAATTAATCTATGCTGTTAGAAGTCAGGATAATGGTTACTTTGGAGCAGGAAGGAGATAATGGCTAGAAGAGAGCATGAGGGGATTCCAGAGGTGTTGGTAATATTCTGTGTTTTGTTATTGTTTGTTTTTACATCTGGGTGCCGTGTTCAGTTTGTGAAAATTTTGAGCTGGACACTTACATGAACTTTCATAATATTTTAATATAAAGTAAAACATTTATGTGGTATATCAGATGGTGAAGTTGTATAGAGAAAAATAAAGCATGGCAGGCAGATTGGAAAGAGAGGGTTGGGGGCTGGAGGGTTATAATTGTAAATAGGCTGCAATTTCCAGAGAAAGCCTCACCAAGTGTTTAAATTTTAACAAAGATTTGTAGGAAGTGAGGAAGCCAGGCCTTAAGGTGGGTTTGAGGAACAGTAAGAAGACCAGTGGTTGGAATAAAGAGAATGTGTAGGAGAGTGTAAGAGACAATATCAGAAAGATAACAGGAGGCTGGATTGAATGGCACTTGTAGGCCACTATAAGGGTTTGGCTTTTGCTAATACTATGGTAAGAGATGGAAAGCTGTTAGAGGGTTTTTAACAGAGGAGTGAAATGATCTGACTTATATTTTAAAAATATCTTCCCAGCTCCTTTTGAGAAAAGAACCAAGAGAGTCCAAGTGTGGGAATAGGTTTAGGAGATTGTTACAATAATCCAGGTAAGAGAGGATGATGACTTGGTTCAAGGTGATATTAGTGAAACTGATGAGAAGAAATTGGATTATGTACATATATTTTAAGGTAGAGCAAATTGGATTTGCTGAGAGATTAGATGATAAAGTGGAAGAAGGAGAGGGTCAGTGATGACCAAGGCTTTTGCTGGAGCAACTGGAAGAATGGAGTCAACATTTATTCTGATCAGAAAGTCCTGGAGTTTGGTTTGGGATGTGTTAAGTTAGAGATGCCAATGTCAGATATGTGAGGGGCAATGTAGAGCAGATGGTTGGATATGAAATTAGAGTTTAGGAGAGAGGTCCAAGCTTGAAACATAATTATGGGTGTTGTCAACCTATAGATGGCATTTCAAATTATGAGACTAGATGGACTCACAACGCAGTCGTTATAGATGGAGAAGAGTAGAGGTTCAGACACAGAGTCCTGGGACCCTCCAACATTTGTAGGTCAGGGAGATGAAGAGAAATTAGGAGAGGGGAATGAGAAGGCGTGGACATTTAAATGGAAGGGAAACTAGAAAAGCACCATGACCTGGAAACCAAATGAAGAAAATGTTTCAGGGAGGAAGTGGTGTGGTGACCTGTGTCAAAAGCTGCTGATGGTTGAGAATAGATCATTTCAGGGGAGGAACATGGACTACTTGTGGAATCTGAGAATAGATTACTGGACAGTTAACACAGAGGCAGTTTCTTTTTCAAAGGGGAGCAGTAGAAAAATGTGTATTAACTGAAAAAGTTACAGGGTTTTATTTTCCTTTTATTTAGATGGGATAAATAATAGTGTTTGAATGTTGATAATGAACAAATGGAGAGTGTGAAGTTGATGTTGGGGAGAGGGCGAAAATTACTGAGTAATGTCTTCCACTAGACAGAGGGGATGGGGTTGATGCACAGGCAGAAGGATTTACTGTAAATAAGATTATGTGAAAGGTGGTTACACAGAGCAGATGGGCAGATGCAGAAAGGGGAGTAGTGTGGTGCTTGTGGAAATTCTTTTCTGCTTGCTTCTAATTTTCTTAGTGAAATGGGAGGCAAGTTATCAGCTGAGTGTAAGGCTGGGATGGTGATGTGGAAGATTTGAGGAGAAAGCATGAAATAGCCACCTAGGAGAGTAGGTGAGAATAATTAAAGAAACAGAACAGGGCCCTGGTTGGTGGTTCAGTTGGTTGGAGTGTCATCCTGTACACCAACACATGCAGGTTAGATTCCTGATCAGGGCACATACCTAGGTTGCAGGTTTGATCCTCGGTTGGGGTGCATATGGGAGGCAACCAATTGATCTCTCTCTGTCTCCCTTTATCTCTTTCTCTCTCTCCATATCCTCTGGTAAGAATTTAAAAAAAGAAAGAAAGAAACATAACAGGCTTCCTGGGCAATACTAAAGGCACTTTTGAGGTTTATGGTCATGAGTTTAAAGTGAAACCCCTCATCATGATTGTGTGTTTTTTTCCAGCCACATTCAGCTGCTCATGTGTGGACAGAGAATAGGAGGAGAGTCGGGTTAACCAGATGTGGAGATTTTGCCATGCAGGTATGACAAAGGAAGACAGATGCAGGCTAGACAGTGATGAGAATAATCAATCATGGGATCTAAGCTGGGTTAGGAAGGATGAAGGATGCCAACGGAAGAAAGGACAGTGAAAAGGTGGTAGGAATTTTTTTTTTTTTATTCTGATGGCAGCCAAAAAATTTTTGGAGTTGGGTACTAGAGATAGTGAGATGGAGGATAGAAGGTAGTGTTTGGAGAGTTTCAATGCCTGAAATTGAGATAATTTATTTTTACTTCCTGAACGCATACATACTGTAAGAGCATGGTAGAAGGTTAGGAGAGGCCAGCCAGTATTTAAAAGATAAATATCACATGATCTCACTCATATGTGGGATACAATGATCAATATAAATGGATCCAGAGACAAGATGGCACTGAGCAGACCATCCAACCTCGGGGAGAAGGCAGGGGAGGGGGGATTAGAGATCAACCAAAGGACTTGTATGCATGCATATTAGCATGACCAATGGACACAGACACTGGGGCGGTGGGGGCTTGCCTTCAGGGGTGGGAGCGGTGTGGGGGGGGTGTTAATCGGGGAAAAAGGAGACATGTAATACCTTAAACAATAAAAATAAATAAATAAATAAATAAATAAATAATAAAAATAATGAATTGCATCACAGCCTGTTAAAAACCTGTTAATTGAAAAAAAAATAAAACAATAAAAGTGGTTGTGGACAAGACACTCTTCAAATTTGGTTTAAGATTTTCTTCTGTGAATGAAAATTTGAATAATCAAACTATGATTAATGAGATCAGTAATCTATAACAATAACATAACTGAGTTAGCCTTTTAATATTTGAT